ATCGTCTTAACTCCTAAACCAAAGTAATTTAAGAGAGGATTTTTATTACGAAGCCTATAGATTTTAATTTGTTCATATCTGCTTAAATAACATAATTATTCAGAACTAAAGCACAGGATTCCGTCACTATCTGTCCAGTGACGGAAAAAAGTTATTTTCTGTTAGACATTTGTATAATCAGTGCGAGGTAGGAGCATATCTCATTCTGGGACTCGATTACGCTTGATTTATGTCCAGCGTTCGATGCGCCGACGTGAGTCGTTTGTATCAATATACCTTCAGTCTGAAAAAAAGCTTTTAGCTTCAGCCATTTGTCCTTAGGTTAATATGTACTATTTCGACCTTTAATTACTCCAAGACTTTAATCAATTACAATAAAAAAAACATATTTAGTAATCCAATGAATGATTAAAAATTATCGTAATAATTGTTTGTAGTATAATTTTATCGCAATACTTAGTCTTTGATTCACAGACAGGTCGTTACCAATTAGGCATTTAACCTAGATCTTGTGTCCATAGCGGGAAAGTGTTAACTTTAGAACTATTGTATCAGATTTATGATCTTACTCTATTTGGCTCGTTTGTTATTTATTTGATGTCGTTGTAAGGGTTTAACTTCCGTTACAATTTATTTTCTTCCTTGTTCCTAATTTTAAAAATGTTAAATATAAATGTAATAGTATCTTAGGCAATTTATTTAAGACTAGTTGTTGCTAGCGATTTTGTCAGCGCATAATTAAAAATTCTTTAATATTCCCGCGTGCATCTACCATCCCGTCAACGTTCCGTTAAAATCAGTGCAGTCGTTCCGGAGATTATTAGAGAAAACCGTGGCCTTGTGGACACAGATAGACTGGAATTTTAAAGATTGTTTTGTTTTGTGATAATCTTATTAATGTAAATAAAAATCAGCTGACAAAATATTTTTTCCTCGACATTACGTACAGACTCTCCAATTTGATTACATGTGTAGATGCATTACGCGCTTACTTTTTCTATATCTATACTAATATTATAAATATGAAAGATTTGTATTTTTGAATTTTTTTATGCATTAAAAAGCTACGTTATCGCTAAGTAACATAGGCTATATTATTTCACGTGGACGAAGTCGCGAGAAACGGCTATTGTTTTATATGTTTCAAGAGGTATTATACCACTATAAATCAATACAAGTGAAGCTTAGATGGTGGCATTTGTGCAAATAGCAGGATCGTCAAGAAAAATAATATTGGCCATACGAGAGAGGGCGATAAATAATATTTAGAGGCCATCGATAACTGGTCTGACAGCGGTCGTTACCGAGCGCGAGGTACGAACAGAACCTCACAATATTTCCATATTATAGCGCAATTTTATTTTATTTGATAAATTCCGACATCTTATTGAAAATTTCTAAGAACTAGGAGCTAACTTCCTAATCTATACTTCCCTGTATCTATACTTCTATACTAATATATTAAAGCGTAAACATACACTACTTTGTGGCGTAGCATGTCAGCAATTACAGCATATTTTTGAATAATTATTTCTTTAATAAAAAGCCCTACACTTACCTGTTTTAGTCTATATAATTTCACGCTATTAAACTTAGAGGGTAAATAAATAAAAAAAAAAACCTTCATGTGGGAACATAAGGAAGCATGGTGGCAGTAATTTTAACATTTGCAATGGAGTATTTGACAATTGTAAACAATAAAATAAAGTTTTTATTGTTTCATGCAGATGAAGCCGCTCGGGAACAGCTAGCATTATGCTAGTTATAAATTGATCACAACTATGGTACAATAGAATCCTATTTAGAGATGTTTCATAGTGGTTATTTGATAAAAGTAATGAATCTACGAATCGCATACGACTTAAGGCTGACATACACGGGCTGATTTAAGTTGTGTGCGACCAGCGACAGAAATTGTCGTTCACCGTTTTGTACCTTAGATTGCAATTATGATGCAGGGTTTAGACTTAGTATTGACCGGCGCACTTAAAGTAATGTTTATATAAATTACAACACGGCTAAACTCACGTGATAACATTCGGTGTAGGCACCGACAGTTGAAGAAGGACCCATAACGGGTTCGAAACTATAATAAAGTTATAATTTATATAGTATAATGTCTCACGAAAGTAATGTCTATTATTTTTAAAAGGGGTTAGGAAAATAAGTATCAATGTAAACTATTGCATGCAGTATATGTTTCTGTTAAAGTGACAATTAACAGAAGTTTTATAATATCGTCTAATCTTAAGGAATATCCAATTTGTTCAAGTTGTACAAAAATATACCATGAAAGGAAAAATATGACATAAATATTTCAATAAATATCACGATATTCATCATAGTATATGACCTCTAGCATATAATCTTCGACCGTTTTTTAACCTTCATTTGGAAATACCATTTAGGATAGACGTTTATAAATGTATTTCTATCTTCTACGTGCGTACGTACTATTTATGAAATTGAAATATTAATAACAACTTGTACTCAAGATTACTATAAATAAAAGTATTCAGTGAATGTCTATTTTAGTCTATATAAATGTATAAAATAATAGCTGTTCCCGTGCGACTTCACCCGCGTGAAATTATTTAAAATTTTATTTTATTGTTTACATTTGTCAAATTCTCAATTGCTAATCAAAATCCAAAAAGACAAATGACACTTTCTTCCTTGATGTTGGCAGCTTGTAGTTTATGGTACCTTTCCCACATGAGGTTTTTTTCTAATATATTTACTCCCTAAGTTTAATAGCGTCAAAATATATAGCTTAAAGAATGAATTATTCAAAAGTATGCTGATATTGCAGACATCCTACATCACGAAGTAGTGTGTAAGCTTTATTATATTAATATAGATTTCTAAGTAAAACTTATATATTTATTTTCTGTGTAGTAAATGTATCTAGCTCGTTTATGAACTTGTGAGTTTAAATTTAGAAACATAGATATTTTACCTAACGATGCTCCTTTGATGTTCACATAAATATGTAATGAGTAAATATAAGGTTTGCCGTCCGAGAGCCACGTCTTGTTAAAACCTGCTACAAGACTTTCTTCAAGTTGGAATTATTTAAGAAAGCTTTTGAGACAGTCGGAGTGGTCACAAC